TCGCATACAACAACACTCTTCATGCGTCAACTCAACAAACACCATTCTTCTCCAACTACGGATACCACCCCAAGCTCGATTTATTGAGTTCTTCAGCAAATAACAACCCAGCAGCTGAAGGATTTGTGAAGAAACTATCAGAGCTTCAAGCGACGTTGAAGCTTCAATTGCAATCTGCCCAAGAGAGTTACAAGGCATCTGCAGATAAATATCGAAATGAGGCACCTACTTTTAAAGTTGGAAGTAAAGTATGGCTTCTTCGACGGAATATCAAGACCAAGCGGCCATGTGACAAATTGGACTATCGGAGATTAGGGCCATTTGTTATCGAGAAGCAGATCAATCCGGTGGCATATCGTCTGGAGTTACCAACTACTATGAAGGTACATCCAGTCTTTCACGTGTCTTTGTTGGAACCTTATCGAGAGTCAGCTTTTCCCCAAAGAGTACAAAGTCCGCCACCAAGTATCGAAATTGAAAACCATGAGGAATACGAGGTGGAAAAGGTACTAGATTCACGGCGTAATAGGAGAAAATTGGAGTATTTAGTGCATTGGAGTGGGTACGACATCAATGAACGAACGTGGGAGCGTGCCGAAAATCTTGCCAATGCACCAAAAAAGGTACAAGAATTTCATCAACGATATCCTCATAAACCTAAGCCGATTCAACGATAGCTTCTTGCTAAAGCTTGCTCATCAAGTAGCATAAAAAGGGGGGAGGGCACCTCTAAAACCCATAGTTCGATAGTGTAGAACTTTGTTAGCAACTATAGTTTGCTCTCATCATTTTAGCCTTTGGACATGGATAGTCAAGATACTACACTTGTTATGTCATTTCAAGCGACTAGCTCACGAAGACGACCGCGAGATGAAGAACCGCCTGCACCACGACGACGTCGAAGGATACCGAGCAACAGATCGCTAGTAATTATATTTGAGGTCGAGCCTGCCTACGACGGTCAGCCAGAAGGTGTGTTTGGAGGACAGTTTCATAATGAAGACACAGAAGTCCACGCTTGGTCAGAGGTTGAAGGTGTTGGTCGCTACCATTGGCTCCAAGGGCCGATGAATCATTTGCCTCGCGAACAACAATTGGAATTCATAGCGGATGTGATGCGACAGATTTTCATTTTCTTGCGTTGGTATTGACTGATAACAACATTGCTTCTCGGAGACCTCGAAGTTAGAAGAGGAGGTGATGTCATGGACATACATTGGAAGATTCTTCGAATATTCTTCTAGAATATTCTCTAAAGATTCTCTAAAGATTCTTTTAGAAGGTTCTAGAAGATTCTTAGAATATTCCCTAAAGATTCTCTTAGAAGGTTCTAAAATATTCTAATAGATTCTAGGAAGTTGCTCGAGAAGTTTCCTAATTAATAGAAGTTGTTGGAGAAGCGTCCTAGTTAGCGGAAGTAGCTCGAGAAGCTTCCTATTCAGTAGTATATATAGGAGTCGAGGCTGAAGGGTTCTTAAGTCTCGACAACACATCTCTTGGAGTTCTAGCTCACCTTTCTGGTGTTGTTCTTGTACTCATCTGTTTAATCTAGTTCTGCCACTTCTTCTTGAACTTCTAGTTAGATTTCAAGTCTGTATTTTGTGTCCGTGACAGTATTAGGATTTGGTTTAGGATTTGGATAAGGGTTTGGTTAGGGTTTGATTTAGGATTTAGATTTTAGTTAGGATTTGGTTTAGGATTTAAGATTTGATTAGGATTTTATTTAGGGTTTAGGATTTGGATTAGGATTTGGTTAGGGTTTTATTTAGAATTTAAGATTTGGATTAGGATTTGATTTAGGATTTGTTTGGAGTTTGGTTTAAGGTTTGTTTAGGGTTTGATTTAGGGTTTAGGATTTTATTAGGATTTAAGATTTAATTAGTTTTGACCTAAAGTTTGAATGAAGTTCAATAGGATTTTAACTAGAATTAAATTAAGATTGAATTGAGATGTATTTGAGTGATATTTGTGATCCTTCTAATATTTCTTTAAGAATTCTTATTGTTTGTTTGAAATTTCTCTTATGTTTCTTTGAATTTGATTAAGCTTGTTTAGCATTACTATGGTCTAATTAGAGCATTATTAGTATTCTATTAGAATTAGGATTCTGTTATTGTAATTTCCATTCTTCCTTCCACAACGAGGTGCCCGGAGCATTCTCAAGCAAGACTTCACGTATTACGACAACGGATGAATCAAGTTTTTGAGTATTATTTGAGGTATATCATCAACTATCATCAAGATGGTTAGACAAATTCTTTTGCTTTTGATAAAATTTACATACAATAATTTGATATATTCTTCTACTCAATAAATACTTTTCTTTGCCAATTATGATTATCATCTATAATTTGATATATTCTTCTACTCAATAAATACTTTTCTTTGCCAATTATGATTATCATCTATAATTTGATAGTTTTGACTTTTCAAAAGTCGATAATCTTGCAATAGAAGATTTTACAAATTATTTATCAGAGCTACATACAATAAAGACACAGTTCAAAGAAGTTCAAGAATGACAAAAGATCAACATGAATTTCTATTATAAAGAATATTTGTAATTCAATATAGGTGACAAGATATAATTACTTTATTGCAATATCAAAATAACTTGTCCTTAAGATAAGTTGAACTATCATAGGCTTGGATCTTTTCCTATTTGTGAACAAGTTAATCTTGTTGCTTATTGATTACACTACGGGGAGTCTATGAAGATCCATTCTTTATTCTACATGTCTCTTTTTGAGTCATATATGACAATGAATATTTTGAAAAGGAGACAAATGCCACTTCTTGTTATAGAAGTGGAGAATAATTAAGAATTCGAAGTGAGAAAAGTCTTAGATTTATAGGGGTACCAAAACAGATTAAAATATCTTATTCATTGGTACGAATATGATATTAGTGAATGTATATGAGAGTGAGTAAAGAATCTTGCAAATGCAGCAAAAAAAAGTTGAAGCTTTTCATCAATAATATCTATTAAAGTTAATATAAAGAATAGCAAATCATTGCTATAAAGAAAACATGATCTAAAAAAAATAGCATTCTCCCTTCTATCTTTATTTGTAGCTTATTTGTATTTGTAGTGCAAAAGAGATGGAGAACCAACAACTAGTAGATTTAACTTGAGAGCCATTGTTTGCAGTCTTATTGGATAAGACATAGTGATTGATACAACCTTGAAGACGATATAATTGAGATGAAAAACCTCAAAAATAACATGTCCTTCTTTGAATAGATGGCAAGATACAACATGTTTGGTATCACAACCTTAAAAGAGTTTTTCAATATTTGGTGATTTTATTAGAAGTAGGAATAACTTTTGACAGTGTTTCAAATGTTTTATTTGAAGTGAATTATGAAAGCGTCAACAATGATTACATAAAAATGTGGTCTTATTACCCAAGTATAGAATACTATTGATGGTTGATGGGACCTATCAATCATCTTTAAAGAAAACAAAGATCAGAGCATATGACAAATACAATTTGTTGCACTTGGATTTCTTCATTATATGATGAATACTCCTTATAGAACTCGTTTCTAGAAGGGAGGATAATGTCATGGATATATATATATATATATATATATATATATATATATATATATATATATATATATATATATATATATTCCAATAATTACAAGTATGATTAAGTAGAAGTAGATAAAAATAAATTAATTTCATAATATCTTCTGAAAGCTTCATAGACGCTACTTTGATTTTACACATATTTGTAATTAATTGATAGGTTAAAAACTTGGTCAAGAAGTTAGCCATATGTCACACATATTAGTAGCTTGTGGAATAAGCTAACTATGTGGCACACACATAGATAACTTGTCTTGCAAGTTAAGATATGTATCTAACAAAGTCAACATGTGTTCGAGGTCTTATAGAATATTGTTATGTAGCTCGTAGTTAGAGAGTATATATGGAGGCAAAAAAGAAGTATTCTTCACTTTTGTGAATGCCTTTCTAATCTTTAATCTTATTTCAAGACTTTCTAGTCTTCTTCTCTTTGGCAATAGCTTTGAGTGATTTTCTAGACTTTTTGAGTAACGTAAGAATATATTGATTTTTTTTTTTTTTTTTTTTTTTTGAAATTCATATTCTTGATACTGTGAATTATAAAAATCCATTTTATTTAATTTATTTATACATTGAATGACATTCCATATTTATATAAAAAGCATTAAGAAGATTTTTTTTTTAAAAAAATTAATGATGATTAAAAATTTTGACTTATTATATAATCCAAATTAAAATTCTAATATAAATTAAATCTTAAAAACATAGAAATAAAACTGAATTTACTTAATTAAAAAAATATTACAATAAAATTTATAATTTTTTTTCAATTAAATATAAAATATATATTTTAAAATAAATATTTTGCATATATATATATATATATATATATATATATCAAAATTATTAAGTAAAGTTCTTTTAAAAACTAATGTATGTTTTTATAAATTCTTATTGCAATGGTTAAAAAAATTAAATCATAAAATTCATTGACTGAAAAAGATAAAAAGAATTATATATATATATATATATATATATATAGTAACATATTTCATTTCTATAGTTTTTTTTGCAGCAATTCTATTTTATTTTAATCTACTATTTTCAAAATATATTTTTTTACTATTTTTGGCATCAAAATTTATTTTTATAATCATGTGATCTCCTATTAAGAAGATTAGTTTAGTCAAGAGACAATCTATTATTTTCTAGATTTAATTAGTATTTTTTTTTCTTCATATTTTTCATTAATGTAACAGTTAGAACTATTTTTGGTACAAAACAATGTATAATTAATAATAAATAAATAATAACTAAAGAGTGACTGCTCTTCATTTTCTACACACAAATGTAGCATGTGCCTGTGCATGGAGGGGAAACCAAAAGCATTGAAAACTACTAACTTTCTGATCAACATCCAAACCAACTGAGTTACCAGTGCCTTTTCCGAACTCTGACAACTCTGAGGTGATGTGAGTCAACTTTTGTATTCTCAAATGCATGTTCATCCTCACGCTTGGTGTTGGAACTGGCGTGCATATTAAACACATTAATCAGCTTCATGTGGCACCTACAAGTCAGTAAAAACAATTCTCATGTTCTATTTGAAGAGTTGGGATTAGTTGTGGGTCTTGTTTTTGAGCTCTTGTTGTTGCACTGCTGCTCACATGTGCAAATGAAGCTGGCGATCTGTGGATTGCACTCATGAGTCTGTCCTGTGTGAGTGGACGTTGCACTTGCTAACACTGCGGGAGATTGCATAGTCCACTAGAGGATTCTTTCAGCTTCGGACAGTTATGGAAGCAAGGTTCGATTCTGACGCACTTTCTGCTCTGTCAATGCTGTGGATGTGTGCTTTTGTGTGTGGATTGTGTGAATATCTTTTGATGTATCCAGGATGTTGGTATAGCCGATTGCGTTGATTCTCGTGCGATGAGGTGATGGAGTTGGTGGGCGATGTGTTTAGGGTTTTATCGACACAAATTAATCACAAATTTAACTTGATTTTTGTATGCAGGAGTCGTCTGGAAGAATGTGCGCCTAGGGGAGTTTATAGGAGGCTCGGTATGCTGGAGTGATGAGGCTCTAAGTGTAAGGTTTGGGCTCTCGTAGACCAACTCTTAGTAGATTTCGTTGGATTTTTGGTGTGCATTCCAGTGTGTCATTGCTTTAGATAGCCAGTAATAAATTTTTGGTACATCCCTCTGGCAGAGATCTTCAAGCTCACCGTCAAGCTCTGGATAAATTCCATGCCCACAGGTTTACGTACTTAAACCAACAGGATTTTGTGGTTGATTTGTTTTTTAAAGGTATTCATTGCAAACTTCACTGTCTTAGCAAACAGTTTCCAGGTTAAGCTTGACCTTCGTCATACAGTACACCCTTCAAAAGCAGTTGATTGTCACTTTTCTATGTTGCTCTTGACGATGAAATAGAACAAACCAATCCGCTGGAAATCTGAGCAAGTATTTTGCAGAATTAAAGCCCTAAACTTGGTGTTAACATTGATTGAGGCAGAGTGCAGATAAGGCCTGGTCACCCAGAACTCTCTCTCGCTCCTGTACCTTACTGTTCTCGTGCTTGGACCAGTCTGAAGCATGTGTACCAAGCTTAAAAGTTTTGATGCCTTGGAGTTGTGTTGTTTAAGTTGTCATTCCAACATTAAAAAATCGGCCACTTAGCGAAACCCATAGGAACATACATTTGTGATATTGTAGCTAGAATTAATCTCGGCTACAATCGATTTGGATGGGGTAGATGCTTGGTGGAGTTGGTGCACTGGGAGAGTGAGGGTGCAACTTTTAGGAGAACTTCAAATCTAGTTTCTGTCTACGATAATATGTTCATGATTTTAAAATAATGGCCTTTAGTCATAGCGTTGTGCGTCTGCATAAATCAAGACTTGTCTGGAAAAATTGCAATTGCTTCCCTCTTGTTTGTATGACAGCTATATAAAGTTGAAGGCATTACATATGTATGTGTGTGTGCTCAGATCATGTAAGCTCTTCTGCAAAACGAACAACTGACGAAGCATGAATTATTTAACCTCGGAGTGATATGTCATTCTATATTGACCCATCTTCGAGTGATCTATGAGTAATTAGCTCTATTGAACTTCCATCTCTTTTACTGGAATATCTGTTAAGACTGGATGAAACTTCACAAAAGAAGGCCATAACATGAAAGAGCGTTTTTTGGTCGATTGTCAAGCATGCTGTATTTGGGCGCCCAATACTTTTTTATCAGCTGGTCTAATTGTACTTTGTTAACTCATGCTGTTAGTTTCTATTCGTCATTCATGATTGAGAGGACACAAAAAAAAAACGAAAGAAAGCATTAACTTGAGTTCAGGATGAGCTCAGCTATTTGTTATTGTTTGATGATGAGCTCAAGTTTTTAGGGTTATGGTGAGCACTCACATGAATAAAAAGAACTTCACACAACTCTATATTAATCCTATGAACTCATTTTACCAAATTCTGGAATTGATGAGGTTAATTACAATTTCATGAAATCACACAACAGAACGAGTATTCTTTTACTTGCATACATACCTAACCAGTTCACTTTTCGAACATGTCACACATTCCATGAACATATTTGATGGCTTGCTTCTTTACCACTCATATAACTGGCGGGCACTTCGCTTTCCCACAGGACTAGAATATCCGAGCCAAATGCGTAGGTGAGCGGGATAGGTTCGAGTCAGAGCTGACAGAGCGCGGCGACTGTCGCCGAGGGCGATGCATGGTTGACCATGCATGCAACACCCTCAGCCCACACTGTAGGTAAGGGATCACATGATCTACCATGCCTGCATCACATGCCACGTGTCACTTTGACGTGATGGCGCAGCTGATTATGTTAACAACAACAATGAAAGCAGTTGGATGACAACATGACGTGAGTGATAAGTTCTGGTGTGTGAAATGATGGGGTAAGAAGCATAAGATGAAGAGGAAAAAAATCGTCGCAAGCCTGACGAGATTCGGAGGCGCTTGCGGGATTGCCATGAATGGAGTTTACACGCGTCGGGGCGAAGGGAGAGCCTGGCGTACCGTGAGTGCAGATGAGGCTGTGGTAAATGCCAACCTACCCCGCCGCCTGGTCCCATCGCTTTTCCCCACTCCAGCAGTCTCCACTTCCTCGGCTGTACCTATAACAGTGGCGAGATAAGTTTGAAAGCTTCTGAGTCGATCTTGTGATCCCTTACCTACAGTGGGTTGTCTCCTTGTAACCGTCTCTGGAGATATTTCAGTGTGGTGGTGGTGGTGGTGGTGATGATGTTGACGACAATGAAGGCGTTGCGGGGTTCTGCTCTGGTGGTGGTGATTCTGGCCGCTTCGGTAGTAGCGCAAGTTGACAGTTCAGCTGCTGCTGCACGGCGTCATGAGAGGAAGCTAACCGTTGAGGTAATGTCCAGTCCCTCGTACCAGTATAGGTGATATAGCCTATGGTTTTATGTAGTTGTCGCTATTGCTGATGACACAATCAATGAAGCCCTGAGTTTGAGGACAGAGTAGGTTGTCGAAGGTTACCAATCCTGCAGTCGAGTGCAATGTTCGATGTGCAATGTTGCAACTTAGAAATGCATGTGATGAAATCCGAGTCGCATTCCAGTTCCGCCATCGTTGTGTTCGATCTTGTTCTCAATAAGCATCACTGAGATCATCCAAAATACAATTTCTGTGACTTCCTGTAGATCGAGGCAATTTTTTAAAGTTCTGTAGCATATCATGTTGTTAAATTAACGTCTCTGTGTCACCCTAGCAAAGATTTCGATGGAGTCATCCTGGGAGTTAGCTTGTTTCTGGCATAATCATCGTATTCACTGTAGTCGAGATGGTGAAGTCTTACATGGCTAAATTGATGGTTTCGAATTCATAGCAAGAGCTCACATGGAGAAAGGATGCAGGTACACTCATCGCCAGGCACTGGCGGTGATGGAGGCGGTCCAGGCCAGGACGGCACACCTGGTGCAGGTGGTGGAAGTAGCAATGGATGCTCATGCCACAGTCCCCCAGGAAGTGGAGGAGGAGGAGGGGGAGGAGGAGGGGGAGGGGGCCCAGGTGGGACGTCTGCCTGCAATTGTGGATCCCCTGGTGGAGGCGGTGGTGATGGAGGCAGCGGAGGTGGGTCACCTGGCACACCAGGCGGAGGAGGAGGCGGTGGCGGTGGAGGTGGAGGAGGTGGTGGCGGTTACGATCACTTTAGCGGGGTAGGTGGATAGGATCAAGATGATCCCCGCATTGAAGGAGGACACTGAAGTCTGCTCAAAGGCCCCTGCCGCCCTTTCGATGTCGCCCTTTCGGGCGTTTTTGCTCCTTCAACTAGAGCTTCAATAAATGGCATTTCTCTC